TGGGTATCTTTGGACGGCGGTATCGTCTCAATCGACAATATAAATAAAATGACCTTCGGAGTAGCGGTATCATCTTATTTGACAATACGATATAGATGACTCTCCGAGTAATGGTACCGTCTCATTCGACAATACAATATAAATAACCTTAAGGGTAAGAATATTATCATATCTGCAGATAAATGTCTTCCAGGTCTCTAGCTGCTGGAAAATAATAACATTGCTCTCTTCGTGGTTTTCATTTGTCCCATCTCTGAACATAGTTACATGTTCGTTATGAACCTTGCTTTGCTGAGAATTTGAATAAAGTAATGCTACTCATATTCCCAATTATTGGTATAAGAAGCATAACATATTTCCTGTATCCGCAGAAAAGTTGTCAATTTGGGGTGCTCTTCGCCCTTTTGACTTCTCTGTATTCACTGGATGAAGGAATATGTCGATCTTGAGGCAAACCTATAGACCTGCATCCACAGAAAAATTGTTAGTTTTTTTACAAAATGAACTGATCTGTGTCGATCTCTTCGGTTGTCTGCTCCTTGTCTTGCTATCTCCGGTTGATTTCTCCGATCTCCCGCTTCTTGATAGATAAGACAAAATATTTTTATGCAAAAATAATCAAAACATGAAGGAAAAGTTTTTAAGGAAAATAGATTTTCAAAAGTAATGTTTGGAAAAAGTCACTGCCAAGTGTCATGTCACGTCAAATTTAATGGAAGTCATTTAGAGTTGGTGTTTTGAGATCTGTCTGATCACTTGTTGGGATGTATTCAAAGTTGCTCTAAAATCTCGCTGAACCTTGTTGAAATTTTGAGGTCATCTCAAAATTTCTGTCCCAGTTAATTGTCTTGGCTTATCTTTAACCGTTGGTGAGCAAACACGGAATTTTTGAGATCTTCTCAAAAATTTTGTCCCAGTTGCAAATCTAAAAGTAACTTCAGTCTTGACTTTGTCGGAGAGATCTTCTTCTTGAGAAATTTTGAGTCCCTCTCAAAATTCTGTCCCAGTTTCTATTGTAAAGGAATAATAGAAATCTTACAGGAGATATGACCGAGCCCTTGTGGCGCCTACGTATCCCGTTGAGGCAGGAATCAGGTCAAACGTAGTTCCCCCTTTGAGATTAACAAAATAAGAAATTTACAAAGAAACCAACCGAGGCCGACATAGGCCGCCTACGTATCTCATTCTCGAGAATTCAGGTCGAACGTAGTTCAATTACAAGGAAATATTTTGAACGAAACGATTACAAGCAAATGGAACAATTACAAGGGAATGGCAGAAAATACAAACTAAAACTTCACACATAGTATCTCTTGACAGCATCTGAGTTGATCGGTTTTGGCCATTCGATGCTATCCATCTCTGACAGGATTAAGGCACCTCCGGATAACACTTTGCGAACCATGTAGGGTCCTTGCCAATTTGGTGCAAATTTCCCTTTATATTCATCCTGATGAGGGAAAATGCGCTTAAGAACTAACTGACCAACTTCAAATGTCCTGGATCTTACTTTCTTGTGAAAAGCACGAGTCATTCTCTGTCGATACAGTTGACCATGACAAACGGCAATCATTCTCTTCTCGTCAATCAATGTTAGTTGGTCAATCCGCTTGCGAACCCATTCAACATCACTTAATTCAGCTTCTTGGATGATTCTCAATGAAGGTATTTCAACTTCGGCAGGTATAACTGCTTCTGTCCCATACACCAACAAATATGGAGTTGCTCCGACTGATGTTCTGACAGTCGTTCTGTAACCCAATAAAGCATATGGCAACATCTCATGCCAACCTCTGCGATTTTCAATCATCTTCCTCAAAATCTTCTTTAGGTTCTTGTTGGCGGCTTCTACAGCTCCGTTCATTTGGGGACGATAGGCAGTGGAATTTCGGTGATTAATCTTGAATTGTTCACATATCTCTCTCATCAAGTGACTGTTAAGATTCGCTCCGTTATCAGTAATGATGGATTCTGGTACTCCAAACCTACATATCAGGTTATTGCGAACAAAATCAGCCACAACTTTCTTGGTCACCGATATATATGAAGCTGCTTCCACCCATTTGGTGAAGTAGTCAATCGCAACCAAAATGAATCTGTGTCCATTAGAGGCGGCTGGCTCTATTGGACCAATGACGTCCATGCCCCAAGCTACAAACGGCCAAGGTGAACTCATAGCATTGAGTTCATGAGGAGGCACCCGAATCAAATCTCCATGCACTTGACATTTATGACACTTTTGCACAAACTTGCAACAGTCATGTTCCATAGTCATCCAAAAGTAACCGGCTCGAAGGATCTTCCTGGCCAAAGTGAGCCCATTCATGTGAGTACCACAAACTCCGGCATGTATCTGTTCCAGAAGCTTTGCAGCTTCATTAGCATCAACGCATCTGAGAAGACCTAAATCTGGAGTCCTCCTGTAAAGAATTTCCCCACTTGCAAAGAAATTGAGGGCCATACGGCGTATCGATTTTTTCTGGTTGAACGTTGCATTCTCAGGATAAGTCCCGTCCTCTAAATACTTCTTGATGTCAAAATACCAAGGCAAACCATCTGGTTCTGCTTCGACGTGTGAACAATGAACAGGCTGTTCTTTCACCTCTATATCCACTGGATCAATATAGCTTGTATCTGGATGTTTGATCATTGAGGCAATGGTGGCAAGAGCATCGGCCAACTCATTCTGTGTTCTGGGAGTATGTCTGAACTCAATCTTGCGAAATCTTTTGCACAATTTCTGTATATATTGCACGTACGGAGTGATCTTTGGGTTCTTCACGGCCCATTCTCCTTGAACTTGGTGAATCAGCAGATCTGAATCTCCAATAACCAACAGCTCATGAACATTCAGATCGATGGCCATCTTCAAACCGAGGATGCAAGCTTCATACTCAGCCATGTTGTTCGTACAATTAAATTGGAGTTTAGACGCCATAGGATAATGCTGACCGGATTCTGACACTAAGACTGCTCCGATACCTTTCCCTTGGTGATTTGCCGCTCCATCAAAGAATACTCTCCAACCAGGATATGCTTCAGAAATATCTTCACCCACAAACGCTACTTCTTCATCGGGAAAATAAGTCTTGAGCGGTTCATACTCTTCATCAACTGGATTCTCCGCAAGATGATCAGCTAAGGCTTGTGCTTTTATTGCCTTTTGAGTTACATACACAATGTCAAACTCACTCAAAAGCATTTGCCATTTAGCTAACTTTCCTGTCGGCATTGCTTTCTGGAAAATATACTTCAACGGGTCCATCCTGGAAATAAGGTATGTGGTATAAGAGGACAAATAATGTCTCAACTTTTGAGCGATCCAAGTCAAAGCACAACATGTTCTTTCCAAAAGAGTGTACCGAGCCTCATATGGAGTGAACTTTTTGCTCAAGTAATAAATGGCTCGCTCTTTCTTCCCAGTCTCATCATGTTGACCAAGCACGCATCCCAACGCATTATCCGAGACCGACAAATATAGCAATAATGGACTCCCTTCTCGTGAGGGACCAACACCGGTGGATTGGACAAATAGTTCTTGATGGCATCAAAAGCAGTTTGACATTCTCCGGTCCACTTGGTCGAGGCATCTTTTTTCAATAGCTTAAAAATGGGCTCACACACCACGGTGGATTGAGCTATAAATCGGCTGATGTAGTTCAACCTTCCTAGAAAACTCATGACCTCTTTCTTTGTCTTTGGAGGAGGCAATTCTTGGATCGCCTTGATCTTGGAAGGGTCAAGCTCAATTCCCCTCCTGCTAACTATAAATCCCAACAACTTGCCAGCTGGCACTCCAAAAGCACATTTGGCGGGATTTAACTTCAAATTATATCGGCGTAGACGATCAAAGAATTTCCTCAAGTGAGTCAAGTGATCCGAACTCTCGCGGGACTTGATTATGACATCATCCACATACACCTCGATCTCCTTGTGAATCATATCGTGAAAAATGGTCGTCATAGCCCTCATGTAAGTAGCACCGGCATTTTTGAGACCAAATGGCATCACCCGATAATGATATACACCCCAGGGCGTGATGAAAGCTGTCTTTTCTGCATCTTCTTCGTCCATCAGGATCTGGTGATAACCCGCGTAACAATCCACGAATGACTGCATCTCATGCTTAGCACAGTTATCAATAAGGATGTGAATATTTGGCAATGGAAAATTATCTTTCGGGCTAGCTTTGTTGAGATCTCTGTAGTCAACACAAATTCTGATTTTTCCATCTTTCTTGGCAACCGGAACAACATTAGCTAACCAAGTTGGATATTGCGTCACTTCAACTACTTGGGACTCGATCTGCTTTGTAATCTCCTCTTTGATCTTTAAACTCAACTCAGGCTTAAACTTCCGAGTCTTTTGTTTTACTGGACCGAAATCTGGATTGATTGGCAACTTGTGGGACACCATATTCGTACTCAATCCTGGCATATCTCTATAAGACCAGGCAAATACATCAATGTACTCCCTAAGCAAACGAACCAGGTCTCTTCTTTGAGCTTCCGTCAGATGGACACTGATTCTTACCTCTTTAACACATTCCTCATTTTCGAGATTCACAGTTTCAGTTTCTTCCAAATTCGGCTTGTGTTGATTCTCGAATTGTCGAAACTCTTCAGCAACATGTTCGTGAACCTCATTCTCTTCTTCATATTCCTCACATTCATCATCACCTGCCTCATTTTGTTCACTCGGTTCATGACACGACATGACATTGGCAGGTTTTAAATTAATATTACTGAAATCATAAACAAACAAAGTTAGGAAAATAAAATATAAACAGATAAGTGACAAATATTTTATAAAAGAGGCTTTCATTTAAATTGCGAAAAGACAAGCACAAACTTTAGCCATGACCGAGGGCCATTGCTTTTTTAAACATCACAAGGGAATTTAAAATAAAAACTTCAAACAAATAAACTGCATAAATGGTGGGTCTCGGGCCTCTTCCGAACTACCACCGATTTTAAAACAAACAAAGACACATGTCTTTTCTACCCAGATGTGCGGGAAATCAGGAGCGGTGTGGAGGTCCAGTTCTTCAAGCGCTCCTCAGGCTCTGCATCACGGATGCCTGATGTCCCAACCTCTTCCTCAATGACCGCATCAATCTCCTCAAAAAGGCCACAGATTCCTTCCCCGAGACCATCATTATTGACATATCCTCGCACCGGGAATGACTGGTACAGATGGGGAATTGGCCTGGCCAATGCTTGATCACTACTCTTGTTCTTCATCTCTGTTTCATCAGCCTCTGTGGGGACATACCCCAAACCAAACTTCGCTCCTTTGGCGGGGATTTCGATAGGCTCGACAATTCCTTGGAAATGTTTCCCCAACCCGAAACCTGGTTCGAAACCATTCTGGAGCATGACAGCAGCAATCATTTTGTACACGGTAGGCATAGGAGGCTGTGGAGCCAAGTCATCATCGGTGGCATTTACCAGCTCCACCGTGTAAAAGTCGCAACCTCGAGAGACATCATCAACGATTGGTGCACACCCATTGGCGTGGCTCCTTTCACCATAAATGACCAATTCCTGGTCCTTCCATACAAATTTTAACAGTTGGTGAAGGGTAGACGGCATAGCCCCGGCCATATGGATAAACGGTCTTCCCAGAAGTAGGTTATAACTAGTGTTGATATCCAACACCTGGAACTCCACATTAAATTCTGCAGGACCCACCAGAATATCCAAGTTTACCGCACCCAATGTATCTCTTTGCACTCCATCAAAAGCCCTCACATTCACTTGGTTCTGGTGAAGCTTTCCCAAGTCATCGACCAAGATACGATTTATTATCTTGTCTCGACACTTACAAGTGACGTGCAGAGCCTTGTTGTGCATCCTGCCTTCGAAGGGCAGCTCTTCGTCACAGAAACTAATTTGGTGCCCTCGAACAACTTGGTTTATCATAGCCGCTAGATTGTCGCTATTCGTACCCACAGGCACATATGTGTCATCCAAAGCTCTCATCAACGCTTGCCTATGCAGTTGTGAGCTCATCAACAAAGCCCATACAGAAATCTGAGCTGGTGTCTTCTCCAAATGCTTCACGATTGAATAATCTTTTGGTTGTATCTTTCTCCAGAACTCCTCAGCTTCGGCTTCACTGATCGGCCTTTTTGCTTGGTCCTTCTTCGGCCCTCCTTGAGCCAACTCTTCCGGTGTGTAGCACCTGCCGGATCTGGTCATACCCTGAGTAACAGCTGTTTCAATCACAAACTTTGGTTGGGTAAGAGTTTCCCGTGGCACCAAGGCAACAACCTTCTCGGGTGTCAGAATCACAAACTCTTTCTTCTCTCTAATGCTCAACGAGGCTACAGCCCTTTCTAGTTCATCAGGAACAACTGAAACTATTGCCTTTGACACACACCAATCGTCATCTGTCTCTATCATGTTGATAGTGACGCCTCCATGATTTGGCAAAGGATTACTGTTGACATTGGGCGCGACCGTCTGAAGAGAGACCACATTCTGATCAATCAGGTCTTGAATCTTATGCTTCAGGTTAATACAGTCTTCAGTATCATGTCCGACACTGTTGGAGTGATACGCGCACCTCTGATCAGGTCTGTAAAACTTTGAGCTAGTGTCAACCGGCTTGGGCCCCACTGGGTGAATATATCCTGCCGCAGTTAATCGCTCAAACAGCTTTGTTCGGCTTTCGACAAGCGGAGTGAAAATTCTGGCAGGCTTCTTCTCAAATCTAGGACGGGGGGGATCATAATTGCCTTGTTGAGGAGGAGGCATTTGACGATAGTTTGGAGTGTTTGGACGGGGGGCTTGATATCTGGGATATGAGTTGGTTTGGTAGTTTAGTTGTGGAGCTTGGTAGTTCGAGGGGGTATTTTGGTAAAGTGGAGCTGGGGTTTGGTACATTGGGGGAGGCATTTGGTAATTCATCTGAACGTTGGCACAGTTGGGGGCGGCATTTCGGTAGTTATGAGGGGGAGTATTGTAAACTGGAGGGGGAGTTTGGTAGATAGTAGGGGGAGTTTGGTAGTTAGGAGGGGGAGTATTTTGATAGCTGGGAAGAGGGGTGTTTTGGTAATCAACATGTCCATAACATGCCGGGTGCAAACTCTGTGAAGGTCGAGAACGACCTTGGTATGATGATGATTTCCTTGGGGTCTTCTTCCCCTCATAAGAGATAGAGGACACATCCTCTCTTTTCTTCTTCAACAAGCCCGAAGATCCGGGCGAGGCAGCAACACGGGCAATCTTCCCGGTTCTCAATCCATCCTCGATAGTCTCACCTACCTTGACTATCTCAGCAAATTTTGCTCCAACGAGCAACATAATTCTGTCATAATATTCGGGTTCCTGCACCCGCACAAACACTTCAACAATTTCCTTTTCTGACATAGGAGGTCTAACTCTAGCTGCTTCCTTTCGCCATCTATATGCAAATTCTCTGTAACTCTCGGTTGGCTTCTGCTTCATCTTTTCCAAGGAGTAACGATCAGGAACGATCTCCACATTGTAGGCGAATCGTTCAATGAAGTCCTTAGCCAGAGCATTCCAGCTAGACCACTGTTTCGTTTCATGAGACGTAAACCATTCTAGAGCCTCTCCGCTCAAACTTCGACTAAAAAGCCGCATTAACAAAGCTTCGTCTCTCCCAACTCCCACGAGTTGGTCACAGTAGGCCCTCAGGTGCGCTAAGGGGTTCCCTGTTCCTCCAAAGATGTCGAATTTTGGCACCTTGAACCCTTCCGGGAGGTCCAAATTAGGATGAATGCATAGGTCTTCGTAACTCAACCCGGAGACCTCAGGAATGCAGTTCAACTCCTTCATGGCTTTTCTGATTTCCTCCTTCATATCTATCTTAGCGGTCTCTTCCTTTGACCTCCACTCTCTCTCCCTCTCCTCATAGTGGTCGAGCTCCGAACCATGGACATCATGCTCGTTGGGGACGGGTATTTGGAAAATGGGTTTTTGCGGTAGCGGTGGAGCGATAGAGGGACTCTGGCCATTTAATGGGGCGTGATAGTTTTGGGGATAAGTCTGGGGGTTGGTGTACAGGTTTTGGTGAGGGAGGGAAGTGTGTGGGTTATTAGCGTTTTGGCCATGGGGGGGCAGGCTAGTTTGGTGGTTTGCATTAGGGGGAAGGAGTGGTGCTTGGAGGTTGGTATTTTGAGGAGGGGGTGGCGTTTGATAAGAAGCTGAGGCGTAATGGGGGTTTTGAGTAGTAAGGTCGATGACGGAGGGATTATGAGCAGGGCTTGAAGATGGGTTTTGAGCCTGTTCCACGTTAGGAGGGGGAATTTGAGCCGGAGGTCTTCCGTCTGGTTGAGTGTTGACAGCAAAAATCGGAGGAGGCAAATCTTGTCTTTTCTGCATCTCGACCCTCATCTCAGCAATTTGTTGCATCAACTGCAGGATCAGTTCATTCTGATCAGCAAGGGCGGGCTGAGCCACCACGACATCAGTAAGGCCAGGTTCTTCGTTGTTATCACTCATTGCTGTTTTTCCCTTTTGTGAATTTTGGCTGGGAAAGGAATCTGTAGGCCCTTTTGATCTGGTAAAATAGGGGTGTTCAGCCAGTGTATCAACACAGATCAGTTCTAACTACCTGTAAAGAAGAACAACTCAAAGACAAATCTGTCAGTATTAGTCGTAGATGAATAATGCAAGATATCACATAGAAAGCAGATAAACACATAAAAGTTGCTTTGTCTGAGGACACGTTAACCCACGAGTAATGGGGACTGATTTTTTGAACAAGCAGGAATTTGCTCGTTTTATTTTGGGGCTAGTGACTCAGGAAGGCTAAATTGCGTTGAGCTAAGGTCTTCTTGCTTCATCTTCTGTCATCTGTTGATCTGAACTCAATGTTTCATTGTTGAATGAAAGAGAGGGAAAAGAAAATTTGCAAAAGATAGGGGCCGGGCCTTGAAAGGCTCCCTACGTATCTCCGAAGGAGAATTCAGGCCCTACGTAGTTCGAATACAAAGGAAGTTTCATTTTCATTCATTCATTTCTTGAAGATTACAAGGAAAGTGAAAAGCATACAATAAAGCTCCTAAAAGATAAAATGTGCCTCCACTCAAGCCATTCTTTTTCTGATTGTCGCATTAATCACGGGGGGTAAACTCATATGCTTCAAGGGTGGTTTTCTCATTCCCTTCATTCCACCGTCCCTGAAGAGGAGGCATATAGACAATTTCCTCCCCAGTATCTTCTTCGGTAGCTTCAGGTCCAGTACCTTCAGGATCACTGTTAGCGGCCTCTTGGCTGAAGAAAGAGTGCTCTCCATGTGACTTCTGAAGCATCACGGTTATATCTTTGAGGGCATCGCGCTTCTTTCGCACAGCAACTGTCTCCTCATCTATAACAGCACATTTTGTCATCTTTGCTGCCAATTCCGCGTCTAGTGCAGCATTTGCTGTTCGTACGATTGCGGTGGCAAACTCCACTTCTATTCTTCTTTTTCTGGTTTCTTGGATCTCTTGTCTGAGCCGCTGTAATTTCACCCTCAAATCCTCCTCAGTTAGCTCTATGTCGATACCCTTCCTTTTTTCCATCTTAGCAGCAATTTTACCTTTCCTAAGATAATAGAGTAATGTTTTAGGATTTCGTAGTAGGATTTTATTTTTTTGGCTGAGAAACTCAAGACTCATGATATTTTGGTCGGACATTTTGGTAGTAACTTGTATTTGGATATTGTAGGAATTTTTTTTTTTTTTTTTTTTTTTTTTGAAATTTTTGAAAAGGAGTGGGTTAAGGGTGTCCTCATTCAAAGCAACGTACCACATAAACAGTTAAAGCACACAAGTAAACAGACGAATATCGCGTCCTGAACATGCATGTGACCCTTTTGTGCCAAGGGTAGGCCTAGCGAATTGAAGGATGTATATGTCTTTTTAAGTCAATTCATTATCCCCAAAATATTTCATTAATAGCATTCAAAAATGTTTGACAAACATAAAATTGGGGAAAAGAGTTCGAAAAATAAATTACAAGACAAAGTACAAATAAAGCAGTCCCACGCAGGGGATGATAACAAACTCCAAGCTCATCCTTATCTTTCACCAAGTCTGGCCCTCTTGGCGATGCTAACCTCTTCCCACATAGCATATCTGTTCGCCCATAGGTGATCTCTTGCCAACCGAGCCCCTTCTTGATGTCTGAACCTCTCGACCGACTGAATCTGCTGCTCCATGCTATCATCTAATTCTGACATACATTGCCTGGATTTTTGTAACTTTTGCTTCAACTGAGCTATGACTTTGGCGTCTTCTGAGTGTCGACGTTGATACTCCAGCTCATTCCTATCAAATTTCTCTTGGAGTTGATGAAGTCGGATTTGATGCTTGGCACCAACATCTGCAATAATATGGGGAACGTTTGGACCGGGTTCGATAGTTCCGGCGAGTCTCTTCTTTAACCATTCTTTGTAATCCTTAGAGCATTCCGGACGAAACCTATTTGGCACCGGCTCGCCCAATACCCTTCGAGTCTTCCATAATTGAAGCATCTTTTTAGTAAAAGCGACTTCGCCATTTTCATGATCCGTCACAAATCTTGTCATGTCTTCTATCTGAGGAAGCTCTTGTTTCCCTCCTAGCTGTCTAAGTACTCGAGAAGGAGCATATGGCCGAGTTCCTCTCAACCCAGCAAATATCAAGTAGGGGGCCTTTCCACTTCGGATCACAATTTGTTTTGTTACTACCAAACATTGGATAGACCACTGCACATTTTCCTCTCTCAAACCCTGAAGTCTCGGGTACCAAAACTCTTGGCCTCCAGTCCTATTGAAATGATTACGTTGCACCCACCAATCGTGACTTTCGAGCCTGTTCGGTCTTTCCAAGGGATCTGGTTCTGTTGGATCATGAGCTTTGATCAAGTGTCGCATCATCCACCATTGAAGTATCAGGTTACACCCTTGAAAGAAACGTGTGCCATTTTTACACCTATCCAACGCCCTGTAAATGTCAGCAAGGATCATAGGAGCTAAATTGTAGTACTTTCTTACAGGCCCGTAGCTTACTCCATTAAAAATAGCATGAGTAACCATTACTACATTTGGATGGATGGTGTAGTTTGGTCCTTGGGGAAACACCATTGTCCCAAGTAGACATATCACAAAAGCGAGAGGGCGTGTTTCCTTCCATTTTTCTTCTGAAACGAACTCATCTTTAAACTTCTCATAAGCTCTTGCGCGTCCAAATCGATAATACAACTTCCGAAGTGGAATATTTGACCCGGGCAGCCTGTCCATCCATTCAGCTTTGACGAGTGACAATTTTTCTTTGATTTCGGCAAAATCCCATACTTTTGGAAAGAGAAGATCAGTATCGGGTTGGTGTTTCCTCTTGTTGCACATGCCAACACTCTCGTAACTGGCAAGAACTTCATCTATAGTTGGAGTCAACTCTACTTCCCCAAATCGAAATACCATGTTGTCGCTGTCCCAAAATTTCACCATCGTTCCAATCAAGTCGGGGTAAGCCACCATTTCCATTAATGACGGGAGATGGCCTATATGTCTTTGAACTTTCTTTTTATCTTCCTTGTTCATGAATTTCCACCAAACTTGGAGGTAAGGATCAGGAATAGTCACCATTCGGGTTCTCAACGGCTCAAACGTCGGATTCATCCTACAAGAAAAACAAATAAAGGTAAGTTAACCCCCCACCCCCACTTGATAATTGATTTGTTTAAAAATGACATATACATCCTTCAATTAAAACATATAAGTATGATTGTCTTTTTTATTGGCAAATGGGCCAAATAGACACAAGGTGGGCTTCTAATGGGCCCAACACGCCTTGGATGTTGGGTCGACCTAGTTCAAAATGCGCTAAAAATTGGGATGTGGTTTCGCTCTACGCTAGTTGACTAAGAGTGGCTTTAAAAGACCGGGAACCCAAGTGGACAACTTAGGCTGGAATTCACGACAACCATTGGACGCATGACGTACCAATAAATTGCCGATCCTTCCGAAAAAGGGTTGAGTATAAAAAGTCCGGCTGCGATTATGCAGAAACCGTCCTTAATATACTATAATATAATAGGAAGATGCCATGAAATGCAATGACAGTTATATTAATTTAAACATGTTGAGAGCAGATAAACAATTTAGCAATTAATACAATTAGTCAAACAAGTCAAATCTTATGGTTAGAACTTAATTAAATCCCCAGCGGAAGTCGCCATTTCTGTTTTATTTAAAAATACATGTAAAGGGAAAATGACTGAGTTTTTGAAAAAAACCGATTAAACTTATGGTTTAAGCAAATCGAATTCTCAAAAGAACAGAGTCGCCACTTAATTTTTTTTTTATAGTAAAAATCAAGAAAAAAACTATAAGGTTTTCAAAAGATTTAAACAGATAAAATCAATTGAAAAATGAAAGGGTTCGAAGTTCAATATACATTCCGAGAAGGTGTTAGGCCCTCGGAATGCCCGCTAACTTGCGGTTGACCGGCAATTTGACTTAAAATGATTTGACTAATTTTGAGAAATTTAACATAGGAATATTTAAATAAATTACAATATTTAATTAATTCAAGAAAAATAATTAGATAAACGACACATTCTCTTTTTAGAGAAAAAGATTTCAATAATGACACATTTGGCTTGTAATACAAGTGATTAGAATTTTAATAAAAAAAACTAGATTAAAATTTTATTTTTTATTTTAAAAAATAATAATTTTAACCAATTTGATAAATTAAAGCATGAGACCATTTTAAATCAATTGGTAAAAAAAGAACACACACAATTTTTATTTTTTGGTTCATTTGAGAAAAGTGTTAACTTAAAACCATTTAAATAAGCAAGATGATTAAAGGAAGAGGCATTCAAAACATATCTTTTAAAGAACAAAAAAAAAAATTAATTAAGATAAAATATAGCCAATATATTTGATTAGTAAGATAAATGAATACAAAACAAATAAAAGAGTGTATTAAAAAGTAAGCCAATACAAAGAAAATGACTTATCGTTTGGGGAATTTAATTAGGTTAGTTAATAATTTAAAAGTTAGAGTCAACACACAATAAACAATAAATAATCATAATTGAATAATTAAAGAGTAGGGAGAAATTGAATTTGGGCCCTTCTTGGGCCAAATTCGCTGCTGATTTTAGGCTTAGGTTCAATCCCGTTTTTGTATACACTGGTTGTATATCAGTGTATATCGTATGAACCCAGCCCATTTTGTTTGTATATAAGACTGTATACCGAATGTATACAACTTAATTCAACTTCCAGAACACCTGTTTCAATTTTTGGACTTGTATATCGCTGTTTTTTTCCGTGTATACTTGTGTATACAGCTGTATAGGTCATGTATACAGTCCGTTTTTTACTTCTCCAAGACCTGTACATCAGTCCCTGCTTGCTGGGGGGCCGACTCGATGGAGAAAAAGTAAATAAATTAAGCCTCTACGGCTCATCTCGAGGATGCAAGAGAGAAGGAGTCCACCACGGGCTCGGGGAAAGGTTCACACAACAAAAGAAAGAAAAACAAAATTAGCATTCGAAGATAAGGAAGCAAATGAGACATAACTTAATTGAAAATTAAAATCAACTTAATTATCTCAAGACCAAAAGGGGACCACTGCCAAGGTCTACTGTTAGAACTTCTAAGAATACAAAAGATGAGCTACTGAATATTAATCAACAGACATTTGGCCCCTTAATAGTGACAAACTCAACAAGAAAAAAAAACCATTGAAGTTTAAGGTAAAAAATAAGGCTAAACAAGGAAGTAATCAAAACTAGTATGATCAACAAAATCCTAATACTAAATTGTGGAGAGTCCAAGCTTGGAGAGAACCAAGAATACATACGTATGAAAGAAAATAATCTTAGTAAAGCAAGCAAACATAGGTGTAGCAAAGGCAGATGGCATTACAATGGACAAGTGACAACTTAAAGTGTAAAGGGGGCATGCCAGACAACAATCTGATCAGTGAGAAAGACCACATGGTATAGTCTTAAGTATTCTATAAAGCTCGCAATTGGAACTAGATTACAAATGGTAAGCGATTTCGACTAAAATTTAAGCAAAATAGAGACATAAACTTAATTCAAACATGACCTGCAGGAGAGTAAGAACGTCATGGTTCCCAAAAATGGATAAAAACCAACTCCTACAGCCCATCAAACAATAGCTAAGACAATATACAACTTCATACTCAAAGATTTTTATTTATTTTTATTTTTTAGCTCTGCCCTCATTTCAAAAGGAAAACAAAGAACATTAACAGTAACAAAGTGAATAAACCTGGATGTTTAAGACAACGAAAACAAAGGGATACTAGTTCAAACATCAAGACAAATAAACGAGAAGCAAGCGATGAAACAAATTCGAAACAAAGAAACACCGACTACAAAAACAGCAAAAAGAAAACTTTGAATCAGCACTAAGAGTAGGCACTAAAGTCGCTTAATAAAAACACCCACAGCTCGGTAGCGAATAACAGAGAACAAACACAGCTAGTAGCGTCATGTCTTAATGGAAAGGAGGGATATTATAAAGGGGGAAATGTTACCTTTTCCTGGGCAGCAACTAGGACATTAACGAACTGACCACGAAAAAGCTTCCACCACCACACGAGGCTCCGGCGAGATTGGAATGGATAGAACACAACAAACGGGAAGTTTCAAGAACTTTTCACTCAAGTGGATTTCTTCCTCCAAACTCTAGCTAATTTTAATACTTACTCTAACTATTATTTTTATTTTTTAACACCAAATTTTTCAACTCCCAAAAAAAAAAATCTCCCTCTTACAAATGAATGATCCCAGAATATATAGCCGAAACTCGGGTTCAAAATAATGGGGGAAAAGGGATGAAAATTCAAGTGAGAATGAGGGTAGACTCGGAATTCTCCTCCTCAATCCTCAATTCAAAAAATTTCAAGAACCAAAGAGCTGCTCGTTTGTACCAAAAATCAACCAAAATCCCCCAAAATTCGGATGAAAAGATCGAGGTGGGCGGCTGTTGCAGAGAAAGCTGTGGGAGTTGTTGGATATTGACGTGTGAGGTAGAAGAAAAATGCACACTGCTGCTGTTTGGTTCACGTGAGCTGCTGGATTCGCGTGGAAGAAAGAGATGCAGCGCGTACAGGGCTTGCTGGACTCGGGTCACACTTTGAGGGCTGCGACAGTGGACTGTTTCTCACATTTTTTTGGGTTCTGCTCGTTGTATTGAGGAAGAAGAACGAGAGTACAGGGGTGCTGGGTCGGTTTGGTATGCTGTTGCTGTATGTATTGTAATGTTGTTAGAATTGGGCTGATTTGGAAAGGAAATGGGAGTGGGCTGGGAATTAGTGGGAAAAAGGGAAATTGGAAAGCTGAAAGTAATGGGCCTGTTTTAAATAGGCCCAAGTTGGGTCTGAAAAATGGGTTTAAAGTGAGGCTAAAAGGGTTGGTTCTTGGAGTTTAAGAAATAGCCAAATTGAGTTAGAGTAACAAATTCGGCTAAAATCTAAGTAAGACGAATTAATATAAATCAATCAATGAGCTTCTTAATGTTAACAAAAATAAAATAATTAACTTAATTATAAACTAATCGACTCAAAAATATAAACTATCAATTAAACTAATTAACCAAATATTTAAATAAAACTAAAAACATTTTTTTTTTGTGACAATTTTCGAACATCCGTAAAATGTACTAATTATATATAAATATATATATTATATTAAATAAATAAATAATAATAATAATACAAATACAAAATGACAAAATTACTTGAAAAATGCTCGGATTTTTTCTTAAAGTCAAATATTTTAAATCATTTGAAATTTAAGAAGCTCGATGATTAATATAGTCCAAAATTGGGTGTCAACATTGATGGTTTTCATATTAGGTGTGCTGCACACATATATAATTTGATTGTTAGAAATGGTATAGCAATATATGATGATGGTTGCACAAAAGTTGAAACTGCATGTCATTTTATTTTTAAATGTCAAGTTAAGTCTAGACGTAGAGATTTTGAAAATCGTTGTCGTGAATTTAATCTTCCACCTAGAAAAATTCCAAAATCAGTGTGTACTAGATGGAATTCTTTATTTGAAATGCTTGAAGTTGCTTATGAATATAGGAAACCTTTACAAATGGTTTGGAATGCTCATAATTCAAATATGACATATAGACTTGATGATAATGATTGGATTGACATAAAAGAACTTATAGAATTCTTAAAAGTTTTTTATTGAACTACAAAAAAAATATCTGCACTTTATTATCCAACTATTTGCTCTGTTTTACCTAATATTTGTGCTATTTCTACTAAATTTTATAAATTCAAAAATAAACCAAGATTTGAACAATCTGTTAAGAAAATGATTGAAAAATTTAAAAAATATTTTATTCCTATTCCTCAAATTTATTTAACTGCTTGTTTGTTAAACCCACATTACAATGATGAAGGTGCATCACGAATGGTTGATAAAATATATTTTAATTTGGGTATTGATAGTGAAGATGATGAAACACCTAGTTGTCAAGATGTTAAAGATAGTATAAAAATTGAAGCTAGAAAATTGTACGACTTGTATAATTCTAATATAAGGAATGTAGTACATAACGAAGAACCTCAAAGTTCTAGGAGTAGATATAATAATGAAGATGATATTGATGATATGATAGATTGTATTATTGAACTTTCTCATAATGATAGAAATGATTTTGATGCATATATTAATCAAAATACAGAACCTACTACTATTGATCTTCTAGAATGGTGGAGCAATCGCGGCAAAGGATTTCCAAAACTACAACCGGTTGCTCGAGATGTGTTAGCTATTCAAGCATCTTCAGTAGCTTCGGAAGGCAGTTTTAGTGCAGCAAGATTTCAAATTGGAGAGCATAGATATTCATTAGCAGCAGATAGCTTGGAGATATCCGTACTATTTAGAGATTGGATTAATGGCGAGAGAAGGAGTTATGGTCGTCCACCTCTACCGACCAAATTTGAAAATGACGTTGATGAAATAATGCTAGATTTTAGTGATGACGGCATTGATGCAATGGAAGAACTAGCTAATCAACCAATTCCAGAGCATGTTACTAGAGAAATGTTAAATGATTTAAAAAAAGATTTCCTTGGTAGCATGAACTATTAAATTTAAATGTCTATTAGTATGAGTATAATAATTCGAGGTCTAATTCAAACAGAACCCTTCCTAGAAGGTGGCTATGTAGATTAGATTTTTTAATACTCTACTAATATTTTGTAACTCAACTTGTACTATTTAATTAATATTAATAAAAGTATAGGCTATTCGCCTTATTTTTTTATTATTATTGTCTTCAAAAGTTCAAATTTAACTTTTAAAGTGTGAAATTTAAACTTTTATAGTTTTAAAGTTTTAAATTTTCAAACTTTTAAAGTGTGAAATTTAAACTTTTATAGTTTTAAAGTTTGAATTTAAATTTTCAAACTTTTAAAATTTAAAGTGTGAAATTTAAATTTTTATAGTTTTATAGTTTTAAAGTTTATAATTTAAATTTAAATTTTCAAACTTTTAAAGTGTGAAATTTAAACTTTTTATAGTTTTAAAGTTTGAAATTTGAATTTAAATTTTCAAACTTTTAAAGGGTGAAATTTAAATTTTTATAGTTTTAAAGTTTGAATTTAAATTTTCAAAGTTTTAAATTGTGAAATTTAAACTTTTATACTTTTAAAAGTTTGAAAGTTTGTATTTAAAACTTTAAAAGTATAAATTTTTAAGTGTAATATTCCTAATTTTTTAATTTTAATAAAAAAATATAACTTATAACGGTTGGACCCGGTTTCCGGTCTGGTCCGGTCCAGTCCGTTACCGGTCCGGGACGGGTACACGTATTTTTTTCCGGAATTACCGGTTCCGGTCCGTCCCGGTTCCGGTTCGGTTCAGGCACGTGGTGTCCGGTTCCGGAACGTCCCGGTCCGGTAGTTCCGTTACCGGTTCCGTTGCCACCCTTCATACCAGAGTTCAAAAATAATCTTCTATCTGTCTCCAAACTCACTCAAGATCTCAATTGTTCAGTCTCCTTCTTTCCTGATTTTTTTGTTTTTCAGGATCTTTACAATGGGCAGGTGAAGGTGATTTGTAGAGAATCTAATGGTCTCTACTTCCTTCCTGCTCCAAAACACATAAAAGAGTCTCCTACTTACATTCAGTCACACAATGCTCAAGATAACACTACCACAACAACTTCTGCTGTTCTGTTGTGGCATCAGAGGCTGGGACACACCTCGTCAAAGTGTGTTAGCACATGTTATTCATTTTCCTTTCAAGTATAGCTCAGTAGAAATTCAGAATTGTACTATTAGTCCATTAGCCAAACAACACAGATTACCATTTCCACATAGTACTTCTATATCATCATCACCATTCCAATTGTTACATATTGATGTTTGGGATCCTTTTAAATTTCCTACATATGATGGGAATAGGTTCTTTGTTACAATTGTTGATGATTGTACAAGAATGTTGTGGTTGTTTTTAATAAAGCTGAAAAGTGATTTTTTGTTATTCTACAAAACTTTTGTAAATTGGTTAATACTCAGTTTGGTGTGTCAGTTAAGTCCATTAGAACAGACAATGATACAAAAAATTTTAATACTGAATGCCATCGCTTATGTATTTCACTGGGCATAGTACATCAAAGAACTTGTATTCATACTCCTCAGCAAAATGGGATTGCTAAGAGGAAGCACAAACATATTCTTGAAGTTGCCAGGGCCATCAAATTTCAAAGGCACATTCCTCTTAGATTTTGGGGTCACTGCATCTTAACTGCACCTTATATTATTAACAGGTTGCCTACTCCAGTTTTAAATGGGAAATCACCACATGAAGTGCTACATAAGTGCAAACCGTCACTACAACATCTGAGAGTGATTGGATGCCTATGCTTTGCCAAAAATATGTATATTAGTGATAAGTTCCAGTCAAGAAGTGTTGTTGCAATTCATATGGGGTACAGTGAACAAACTAAGGGATATATGCTCTATGACATGAAAGACAAACATTTCTTTCTCAGTAGAGATGTTGTATTCAAAGAAACTATATTTCCTTTTTCACTTCTTCCTTCAACTGCCTGGAAACTATTTCCTACCACCAATAGTCCTGCTGAAGCTGTTCTAGATAGTGTAACAGAACCTGAAATTCCTGAAGTCTCTCCTACTCACACAGCTCCCACTCAGCCTGCTACACCAAGGAGGTCTCAAAGAACAAGTAGTTCTCCTCCGTGAATGAAAGATTATATGGCATCTGTCCAAGGAATTCCTGATCATGACAAACCATTATACTTCATTGATCAATATCTTGGATATGATCATTTGTCTGCTAATTACCAAGCATATATATCCTCATTTGGGGCTGATATTGAACCATCTAGTTTTGAAGAGGCCTGCAAGGATCCTAGATGGGTTGATGCAATGCAGGCTGAAATCAGTGCTTTAAAATGCAACAACACATGGTGCCTAGTAGACTTCAAAATATGCACATTCAGTTGTCTAGGAATATACAATATGCAATATAATAAATAAAATAAAAAGTAGCATAACTAAAATAAAGGAGTGTGATGGGACTAGTGTGTTCATTAGATATACATGTGTATTAATTCAAGTGTGGCACAATGTCTTTCAAAAGATATACATGTGTATTAATTGATACAATTAATTACTAGATGAGGAAATTGACTATGTTTAGAAACCACACATATTGTTAAAGTTTATTGATAATTTAATTTTTTTGTTACCTTAGCTCAACTGGTCATTAAATGGAGAAAATATAGTGTATAAGTGACTAGTTCAATTGAAAATAGATTCTTAAAGTTCCCTTGGAGTCTTTTAGCCTTCAAGAGATTCTTATGCCAATAGAAATTAGAGAGAACTTCTAGTATCTTTTAATGTTCATTTACTTTATATGATGGCATGAGATAAAATTTTAACGGAGAAACATAGTCAATGAGAATTCATATAGTCTGTGTCAGGTGAATATTTTTTGTAGCATGCATAAAGGAGTAGTTGGAGCTGTCGCAGAAAGAGTGCCAATTGCCTGTGCCAGAACTGTTGTGGGAAAGGATAATGAACTCTTTCTTGGAGAATTGAGAATGACATATACTCACATGCTCCAAGCAGTGTGAGTATTAAAGCTTTCATTTATGTTAATCTTACCTCAATGTCACTAGATTTTATTATATAGTAATTATTGGCACCTCAAATGCAACATTCTATCACAGCCGTGTCGCAAGTTTATAAACTTAAGCTCAACATATTAAGTAGAGACATTGCTAAACTTGTTCCGCAGCTCCAGTCCAACTCATGTACAATACCAAATTATTCATATAATCTCTAGACTCATATTTGTAATCTTTTTTTTTCACCCGACTCATATTTGTAATCAACAAAGCAATATCTCGTATTATCTGAAATTTCCTTATTTGTCTTTTGTATCGTCTTTGACCACACACTATAAATGTCTAAGAACTAAGTTTTGCTTGTTGAAATACACAATTAAATTGTCAATGTATTCCAAATAAGCTCATTACCCTGGTGATCTGGTTCTTGTGTCAATTTAGGTAGGTAACATTTTGTTTCTTCTTTAACATACATATCAAAATGTCATGGTGGTAATATTAAAGATGGAAAGGAAAAAGTAAAAGTGCTTAACCTTCCTCGCAACTGCATTGTCCAAATACAATAATTTGACATCCTTTAGCATTGAACTAGTGTTAAAATATTTGATTGTTTTACTGTGAATAATTTTAATGTGTAAAACGTTACCCACGGTAACATTTTAGGTCTGTAATTTGCAAGATTTGATTCTAAATTTGCAAAACTCAATGGTCCGTGGATTTTTAATAAACGTTGTTGTAAGTAACGTGTTAGGCGTAAAACATACTTCAGAGTAACCTTTTATAAAACGTTACTCATAGTAACGTATTAGGTAGAAAACGTTATTCAGAGTTACGTTTCTTGATTTAACGCCGTTAGCCACAATATTTCACACCACTTATTTTTCTAAAAATAAAATATCCCTAAAATGTTACCATGAAGTACGTTTATACTAGTTTTGTAAAAAAATAAAAATAAAAATTATTTTAGTGAATTGATTTAAATAATGACTTATTTTTATAAAAAGTTCCTTCTTCTCTTCTTATATATTACTTGTTTTAGTGTATTAGTTTTAAAACACATAAAATATTTAATTTCACATTGTAATATTATTATTTATAAAAGTAAGAATTAATTTTCATGAATAAAAAGTGATTCATTTGATTGTAATACATTACGTTGGATGTTGTTGTAAACCATGTTTTTTAATAATATAAAGATTTGAGTTGTTTAATTCAACGTTCTAAAATATTTCGGTAAAAAGCAGATAGTTTTTTCTTTCTTTCTTTTTTAATATATTTTTTCTAAATTTTCTTACCATCTTCAATATTATTAAACTGAAATTAATATCATAAAATTAAATTTGTTTGGGCCCCAAAATATTCGGGACCTAAAGCGAGCATTTTATTAATCTCAACCCTGAGCTTCTCGTGATTACACATTTGCCTGTTCGACCAAAAATATTTATAGTTGCTTATTAGTAAGCATCTGTTTTTTTGTACTAAGTATACATATGTCGAATATATTTTTGACATACGGCTATTTAAGTTAATTTCCCTTTTGAGATATTGTGTGCATAAATAATCCTTATACATAATAAGGATAAATTACCTATTACACACTTTTTGTCCCAATAATTTCTATTATTTCCTACCAGTTCTAAAATTTTCCAAAATCCCTTATTTTACTCCCAAACCCCCAAACGCTCGATACATAAATTCTAACTCCCAAAATTAATATTTACCCTTCCTTATTTCACTCCACAAATCTCTCTTATTTTTAGTCACAGAATCTTGGTAGTTATTTTCATTGAAATTCAAAATCAGTGTCTTTTCTGTAGGTTAAGGATATTTTTAGACAAAAAAAGTTTTTAAAGGATATCTATGAGTCTTTTACTTATTTTTAAAAATACACAAAAATTTATAATTAAATAAAATAAGTGAACTTCAAATTTTCAACACTGAAACGTAAATTTGAAAAAAAAGAGTAGTAGTAGTAGTTATTATTTGGTAATAATTAATACAATATTTATAAATTTTTCATAATTTGAGTTGGTTATGAACTCTAAAAATTAATTATTCATCGATCATTGATTAGGATTCTTGTATTATTATTTATTCTTCCCATTATTTAAAATAAGGAAAAGGGTCTGAAATATATTTGAACTTTGACCGAAATTGTAGTAACGATACCAAACTTTGGAAAAGATCTTTTACCCCCTACACTATTTAATAGTGTATTTTAATGGTATATATATGCCCACGTGGACATCATAAATATTGCATAATTATAAATAATAACGTGTCCACATAGGCACATATATACCTTTTAAATACACTATTGAATAGTGCTGGGGGGTAAAAGGTCCTTCATAAAATTTGGTATCGTAACAACAATTTCGGTCAAAGTTAAAGTATTTTTCAGACCCTTTTTCCTTTAAAATACTAAATAAGTAAAAATAAATCAACAATTAATTATGGAATAGCACTGTTCACATCATTGCCACTTTGCCATGATTCAGCACACCTATATATGGGTTAGATAAATATGATTTCATATAAATTTAATACATTTTCTATTTTTTTTAATCGATTGTGTTTGTTCATGTATCTAATTGACAATTTAATTCTTATTTATTGTGATACATTTAAAGATACATTTTATTTCAGCTCACATACATTCTTCTTTTACAACCTTATTGTATCAGATACATTATTATCAACTTACAACTACAAAATGATACATTATGTAAGTTATACAAATCTTTCAAGACAAACAATACAATACTTATCAATTTAAACGAGATACATAAATAGTAATGTATCATGCACTAATTTTTTAGATATGATACGTAAATTTGAATTTATTCTAAATGTAACAATTACATAGCAACTATCACACAGTAATGTATCGATCTCAAATCTAACATCTTATGGGCAACAATTACTTATTTAATGTATCTAATATAAATATAATACTTATCAATTTAAACGAGATACATAAATAGTAATGTATCATGCACTAATTTTTTAGATATGATACGTAAATTCGAATTCATACTAAATGCATCAATTACATAGCAACTACCACACAGTAATGTATCGATCTCAAATCTAACATCTTATGGGCAACAATTATTTATTTAATGTATCTAGTATAAATAAAACACTTATCAATTTAAACAAGATACATAAATAGTAAAATGCAAAGTAGCAAAGATATTCATGATGTATCTTCTCAATTTTTTCGACAATTTTCAATCAAAATTGAAAGGATCTTCAATAAACTAGGAGAAAACTTTTGAATCTCAAAATTTTCAACAATTTTGGATCTTCGCTGAACTGGGAGAAGAAAGAATCTTGAATATCAATTTTTTTGATAATCTTGAATCAAAATTGAAAGGATCTTCGATGAACTTGAAGATTCAAAAGGATATCGTTTGTCCAATATCAATTCCATCAATTGTGTATCCTTCATAACTCATCTCGCTTACCCAAAATTTTGACAAAGAGTTTTTGAATCAAATCTGAAAGGTTTCTTCATTGAACGGGAAAGCAATTTAAATTTTGAATTTCTTCATTATATTAGGATTTGTCTCTGTATGATTGAGAGTAATTAAGAAGAAACATAAGTGTAATTTATGAGATTTAATTAATTTTTCAGATTTTATTCCCTTTTTAGCGCAATTTCTTCATTTTTTTGTATTAGAATTAATGTATCCGGATGATGAATTAACGTATCCGGATGGTGACTTATGTATCCGGAAGATACAAATTTTAAGGGATTATTGTAATTAGAAAAAAATAGGAATAGGATGTAATTTTACTCTTTACACTATAAAATTTATGTAAGTTATACAAATAATAAATGACTCCACGTGGTCATATTTGTTTAAACTTAATAAAATTATTTTTAAATTATAAATAAAATTAAATCTCTTTATAACAATATCGTTTGTCAAAATTTTAATTATTTTAACAAAATGTTATTATAGAAAAACATAAAGTCAATTTCAAAAAACTTAGAATGTTACATAAAGGTTTGTCGATACCAACATATAAAGTACATCCCAAGTAAGTGATTGGAAATTTGACATATTTCTATAACTAATGATATTATTGATCCTTCGAATATAATATTGTAGATATTATTCCCTCTGTTTCTAATTACTTGTCTAATTTTAAATTGACACACCTATTAAGAAAATAATTATTGACATAGTGAGTTTACCATTTTACCTCTATTAATTATGAAGTGGATGAATTAAAAATTTAAGATTTTCAAGAAGTTCTATCTTTTTCAAATTAATTAATTGAGGATATCATAGGTAAAAAAATGTTATTTCTTAATTTGTCAAAATAAACAAGTAATTAGGGACAACTAAAAAAAGGAAAATGGACAAGTAATTAAGAACAGAGGGAAGTAGTAATTAGGATGTAGTAAGAAATAGCTTTTGTCTTTGTTGATGAGTTAGGCCAAATATTTTTCTAGTTAATATCGCAATGGTCATTCAACTAAGAAGTTTTATCATAAAAAGTCATTTAACTTTAGTTTTGGGAAAATGCATAAGTACCCTCAACCTATGCCTGAAATGCATAAGTACCCTCAACCTATGCCTGAAATCTCAGAGACACACTTATACTATAAGGTTCTATTACCCCCGAACTTATTTTATGAATAATTTTCTACCCCTTTTGGGCCTACGTGGCACTATCTTCTGGGCCCAGCGCGTGTTGACAATTTTTTCAAGCTATCTGGTTGATAGTGTCACGTAGGTCGAAAAGGGGTAAAAAATTATTTATAAAATAAGTTCGGGGGGTAATAGGACCTTAGTATAGTATAAGTGTCTCTGGGATTTCGGGCATAGGTTGGGGGTACTTATGCATTTTCCCTTTTAATTTTTACTTCAAAAGTCACTCAATTACAAGTGTTTACTTACAAAGTCACTCAATACTTCTGATTTTTACTTCAAAAGTCGCTCAATAAACAATTTCTAAAAAAAATCATTTTAAGTCATTTGTTTGATTTATTATCTGCAAACAATTTAAATAACGAAATAACGTATTTAATAATTAGGTAATTTTATTTAAATTAAAGGTAATATTTTCTAGTAATCAATTTTTTAAAAGGAAAGAACTGTGAATGTATTGTAAATTTTTTAAAAAGGTTTAAATGAATTATTTTTTAAAATAACTAAATAACGTATTGTAAACATTTTAAAAGAGGATTGAATGGATATTTTTTATTTTTTATTTTAGAATTCGATTTTAAATAAAAATTTCATGTAAGCAAAGTTTAATGAAAAAAATAATTAAATAGGTTGTGTGACTTCATAAGTAAAATATTTTTAATTGAATAACTTTTGAAGTAAAAATCAAAGTTGAGTAACTTTGTAAGTAAAACACTTATAGTTAAGTGACTTTTTGAGTTTAAAAAAAACCTTAAAGTTGAGTGACTTTCTGTGATAAAATTTCTTAGTTGAGTAATTGTAGGGCATATTAACTCAGCTCAACCTAAACCATTTTTAAAAAATAAAAACTTCTATTGGGCCCAATTTTAATCCGTTATTATAAGACTCTTTATTTGCATTAATGTAATGTATGTTCTCATATTGAAAGTATAAATTACTATTTATTTCATATCTTCTAGGATTTATCTATCCATTTATAACTTATTTTTGTTATTTACTTGAGTTGAAATTCAAATTGTGGTTATAAAAGCTAAATAACAATATATTAAAATTATTGAGATTAAGTGGGTCAATTGGGCTGATCATCACCCAACCTGATTTTTAGCCAATTTGAGCCCAAAGTAAACTTGGGTGGGTCATGACCCAACTCAATTTCTATTTGAACCTATTTTAATAGCCTAATTTCAATTCGACCTACCAACGTAACACCCCTAATTATAACATAACTTGAACGAGCATTCCCAAACCCTATCAATCATTAATGGACCATGAACTAATTAAATGGCCATTGACCTAATTATTATTAATTAGTAATAATATACAAACTTAAAAAGAAAACCTCCAAATAAGAAAAAATATAGCTAGGTTAAATACAGAAGAAGATATGAACCACTTAGAATATTTCAAGTGTAGAAGTGACCAACTAAAGTGCCAATTAGTCTAAAAGTGTCTAAAAAAACTCGGTTTAGGTCAGTAACCATTTTTGTGTCTCACCAACCAACTTCAACAAAATTTTGACTCAATTTCTAATTGGTCATAATTTTGCACTTGCCTTCCTATATATAGTCCATTCTATTTTGTCTCTCTCATCAATTTCATTTCTTTTCTATCTTCATTGGCAAATCAAAACTAAATATTCTTGTAAAAAATGGCTTTGGTTAATGCACAAACATTTCTATTTCTTGTAGTGTTTTCTTTCATGTTTGTCCTTAGTATGGCCAACTTTAACTACACTTGGGCAGGAGGGAAGTGGAACAAAACCAATTGCCCCTATGGTAATTATCACCCAAATGCTACTCAAACCTCAAATAAATTCAACGTTGGTGGTTCTGAAAATTGGCATTATGGCTTCGACTACGTGGATTGGGCTCACAAGAGTGGCCCTTTCTTTGTCAATGACACATTAGGTACGTATACCTTCTTTAATTTTAAAAATTGAAGTTTTTTTACGAACCGACATTCTCCCTTTTATCTATCACTTATTAAGGATGATATACACACACTAACATATATGTAATAACGGATAACTTATATACATTGATTAAATGACAATATAAAGATTACTTTTTTATATTATTAACGTAATTTAAAATTCGGCCTTATTTTTCATGTTATTAATTTCACTTTTTATCGATATAGTATAGAAGGATTAATAATATGTGTGTATAAGTTAAATGATTCAACATTTGTACTATTGGTACCTACTTTATAATGTACTAGCTTATCGCTCATTAACTTAAATTTCTGAATTCGTTGCTCTATGTAACAAGCAGTTTTCAAGTATGATCCACCAAATTTGAATGGAGGATTTCCACACAGTGTATACTTATTACCAAACTACTGGAGCTTCATCAAGTGCGACTTGAGAAGAGCTAAGAGAATAGCAAATCCGATCCAGGGTGCAGGGGAAGGATTCGAGTTTGTGTTGAAGAAATCACAACCTTATTTTTTTGCTTGTGGAGAGCATGGGGGCATACATTGCAACAATGGTACCATGAAGTTTGTTGTCATGCCACTCAAACGTTGGTCTTTCTGATTTGATAAAATGTCGTTTAAAAGGCATTTAGATTTTATGTTTTGAACAAATAATGAGTGTTATACTTAGTTGATTTTTGAATTTCATAGTTGTGATTAAAAAAGTTATAGTTGTTGAAGTTAAAAGCGTTAAGACTATAAATAACTTTTTATATGATCTTTGGAGTGTAATCTGAGTCTTCAACTTTGAACTAACTTTTGAACATCAGTTAAGGCTTTACAACTGTTGGCACATGCAATCGTAGACTGACATAACCAATTATTGACAGGTGGATAAAAAAATTGACAGCCACTTTAAATAAATTCCATTGGAATAAAGAGAGTGATAATAAGGTTATAAACCAAAGACAAAAGGAAGAGAATTGTGCATAGGCTTGAAAAAGACATTACATTAAGTAGTAGAAAAGCTAGTATGAATGAATTTAAGAAAACAGTAGTATTACTGCTCCGTCAACGAACAATAGGTACAAGAGCAACCTGGTTGTTGTCATTAATAAATACGAGAACACGAGTACAGTCCACTGGATCTGGATCTGGAATATTCTGAGATATATTTAACACGACGGGGCGAAGAGTTGGATTCTCTTTCTCTATTATACTCACTGCTTTCTCAACATTTTGCCCCAATAGCTCTGGCCAAGCTGTTTTACCTATACACATTTGAAACAGATTATGAGGTAATATATTAATGAAGTTGTTTACCAGGAAAAAAAATTACTATTGTAAGAAGTAAAGCTTACCTTGAACTGTACATGTAGAACTCATGATATCTACTTAATAATAGACCATGTACATATGTGGATGTGCAATGTAATGGTTTGGAGAAGATAGATAGATAGATAGATATCTTCTTTGGTGTGCCTTATATTTATAGGTGCCCACGTCGTCTTTGAAAATTTTTAATATGTTTAATGGATCCTAGTATCTATTTGAAAATTTACTTGGACCATGAAAAGTGGAGATTTTTTTAGTGAGAAACCATTTGCCTATATTAACCTTTTGGTATCGTTTGATCTAGTTTTTGTGCTTGAGTTAGATTTAATATCTATTTACTTACAATGTCTCCTGCGTGCTATTTTCGTTCATATTTACTTGTCCATGTTGGACTTGACACATTCTTTACAAACAGGCTAAAAAAAAAGTAATTTTATTATATCATCCTTATTAATAATAAATCATCTAAATATTGGAGGATGATCATAATTATTTAACAAATAAAGGTAAAATAGACATAAAATAATAAATTATTTTTTAATTTTTTAAATTAAACAAGTAAAGTTGGATAATTGTTTTTAATGTATAGGAGATTAAAGATGGAGGGATGGAATTTGAAAGAACTATAATAGCTTAAAAAGAATGTGAAGACAAATTTAATTCGTACACTTGTCAATTACAAATTAGATCCTCCTTTCTAATCCGTTCATTTTACTTTTGTTCTTTTCTCATTTCCTCCTTTACTTTTTTTTTTAAAAAAAAATCTCGATTTTTACTAATTCTCTTTGTAACATAATGAGTGGTTCCTAAATCAAAGAGCAAGTCCTTTGAAAATTTTGATAAAAAAAAAAGTCCTTTGAAATTAAATCAAGACATTTATTCCTATCATCTCAATGAATTAAATCATTCCAAGAGTTATTAGATAACTCAGCCGCGCGTAGTAAAATATTATATCAAAAATATAAATTAACTTTTTCATATTATTTGAATATAAAAGAGTTTTTAGTTCAAATTCAATTAAATAGATAAAAATTTAAATTTGAATTCATTTTATTTTGAACTAATTTCTAACAAATAAAATATACTATGAAGGAAGAAAAGGTATGTGAAGATAATTATATTTATATGTCGGAAATTATGACGTATACAGATTTAAAAAGTAGACTTTGGAACATAAAATTAAAAACAAAATCGATCATTTTGTGTAATATTTAAAGAGACTAAATCAACCGGTAATTATATGATAATTGAAATAGAGTTTAGAACACAACTTATAAAGAACTTATTTTAACTTTTTCAATACTTTTCACTTTCTTACATTACATACACCCTTTATTTCAAAATAAAGTTTTTGTTTTTATTTTTTATTTTGTTTTCGATCGTGTTTCACATAATTATGAAGACTTCACTGATTTTTTTCAATCTTACCCTTATTCAATCAAAAGAAATTTATATAACCAGAAAACTGGGTCAAAGAACTATATTTTCTTCAAGATGTATATTAAAGTTAATTAAGTAAAAGTATCTTACTTTATAGCCCCACCCCAAACTAAAAAAGAAATTGACATACTACAAGAATTTGAATATCATGGAACTGAAGAGTACATAACAAAATAAAATTGAATTACACTTTCTTCCTTTACATTTCTTCCTTTACTTTTTTTTTTTTTAAAAAAATCTCGATTTTTACTAATTCTCTTTGTAACATAATGAGTGGTTCCTAAATCAAAGAGCAAGTCCTTTGAAAATTTTGATAAAAAAAAAGTCCTTTGAAATTAAATCAAGATATTTATTCCTATCATCTCAATGAATTAAATCATTCCAAGAGTTGTAATATAACTAGGTAACTCAGCCGCGCTACGCGCGATCGTAAAATATTATATCAAAAATATAAAGTAACCTTTTCATATTATTTGAATATAAAAGAGTTTTTAGTTCAAATTCAATTAAATAGATAAAAATTTAAATTTGAATTCATTTTATTATTCACATTGAACTAATTTCTAACAAATAAAATATATTACATGAAGGAAGAAAAGGTATGTGAAGATAATTGTATTTATATGTCGGAAATTATGACGTATACAGATTTAAAAAGTAGAATTTAGAACATAACATAAAAAAATAAAATCGATCATTTTGTGTAATATTTAAAGAGACTAAATCAACCGGTAATTATATGATAATTGAAATAGATTGAAATAGAGTTTAGAACACAACTTATAAAGAACTTATTTTTAACTTTTTCAATACTTTTTTCACTTTCTTACATTACATACTCCCTTTATTTCAAAATAAAGTTTTTATTTTTATTTTTATTTTGTTTCCGATCGTGTTTTACATAATTATGAAGACTTCACTGATGTTTTTTTTTCAATCTTAACCTTATTCAATCAAAAAAAATTTTATATAACCAAAAAACTGGGTCAAAGAACTATATTTTCTTCAAGATATATATTAAAGTTATAATTAAGTAAAAGTATCTTACTTTATAGCCCCATCCCACACTATAACAAATTCGATTATCAGGGACAAATAATTTCGTCATTTATAAATCATATTTCGTCACTAAAATTCTTGTGAGACGAAAAATAATTTGTCACTCAGTCGTCACTAAATGTGTGTCTCTAAAAGTATACAAAGACGATTTAGTGCTTCGTCGCTAAAAGTATTATATTAGCTACAAAAAGAAAAATCGTCCCCAAATGCTTAAACATTTGTGACAAATTCATTTGTCGTAAAAAGTATATTTTTTGTAGATAATAGTATGTTTTGTCACTAAAAAGGTTATTACTACCGACAAAATTATATCGTCACTAATGACTATATTTTACATACCAAAAATTATTTTGTTATTAAATGTATTAATTAGGGTCAATTTTATTATTATATAAAAGATTAATTTTCTTATTATCCTCCCCCCACCCCCCCACCCATCTCAAATTTATTTTAAACTCCTCCCTAAGAGCTCCCACATCATGCTTTCTTGGGGATTCGAACTCACAACCTTAAGGTTGGAAGTGAGAAGTGCTTACCATCAGATCAACTCTAAATTGTCTCTCATTTTTAATTTATTTTCTACTTCATTTACTTCTTTCAAATTTAACTTTTGTAGATATAATATATTATATGATTATTTATACACATACACAAGTGCATGAAATTTACCACCCACAATTCATTCAAATGTTGATTATATTTTAATTAAACTGTATATTTTTTAAAATATCTTTAAATATATTCAGTACGATTCTGTTATTTTATTCAGTTATTTTTATAAATTTTAAAAATTATGTAGTACAATTATAAATTTAAATAAAATTAAACTTTCGATTTTATTTAAAAAATTGAATAATCGGTTCAATTCGGTTAGTAAATCAATTGTTTTGTAAAAAAAAAAACATCGATACCCATAACTATAGTACTTCATCATAATATATTTGAAATCCTAGGTTGTTCGTTTCTTTCATTTGTGCTTTCATTTGTTTAGTTTATTTCGATTTTCACACTGATGGAAAAGTTAATAGAAATTTATGAAATATTTCGCACCTTTGCAAAGTCTAAGTTTGTAAGTCGATGTTATCTCTGTATAGTTGATCTACATGCATTTGTGAAATTACTATTAAATAACTACATATTTTTAGACAGAAGCAAATAGATCGACTTAGTCTATGCAGTTTACCAATCACAAATCAATAGACACGCGCAAAAATTAGCACCAAGACTTGAGAAAGTATTTTTTCTATCGTCTTTATCGATGAAAGTGTATCAAATAAAAAACAAAAGTGTTAAACCAACAAATATTAGTGATCTAGTGGCAGAATCGTACCCCACTCACGATACTTATAACCTGGATTGTATTTTTGAAATGATGCATAATTGTGTAATTTAAGAAAATTCATGAATTGAACTTTTTCATTTTTACAAAATGGACCGAATTCGTTGGTTTTAATATTTTCCCTCGCCAATTAACGAAAGGACTCTGTCTATTTCTTATGAAGCACTTATATTATTCTTTTTGTAAGTTGCCACTTGTAATTATGAACAATTGTAGCAAAAAAAATTGTATTTAGCTATGAATTTTTTTCGTAGCAAATAGTTGAATTATTCACTACAAATTTTAAGTCGTCGCTATTTAACACCTTACATATTTCGTGACAATTTTTTTGTTGTCGCTGAATAACAGATTGTTTAGAGACAATAAAATCTTTGTCACCAATTATTTATACTATTAGTGACGAAAATAAATATCATAATTAAAGTTAAATTCTTATAGCTAAAACTTATAATATTTATCTACGAATTCTAATTTGTCGATACTGTAACAACATATTTTTTTAGATGAAATTTTTTTGGGTAAAAAAATCAATAAATTTTAAGACAAAAAATAATTTGTCATGAATTAGATACATTATTAGTGACGAAATAATGTGTCACCGATAACTTTAAATTCGTGACTAACACTACTTAACAAATGGCGCCAATTAATTTTTTGGTGGGAAACTTTAGTAGACGAAACTTTGCTACGGTTTTTTTGTTTCGTCACTAAAAGTATGTGTCTCATATATTTAAGCACGAAAAGTAAATTTTGTCACTAAAAGCAAACAATTAGTGACGAATTTGATGTTGTAGCTAATAATTTCGTAGCTATATATCATATTTGTTGTAGTGCCAAACTAAAAAAGAAATTGACATACTACAAGAAGGTGAATATCACGGAACTGAAAAGTACATAACAAAATAAAATTGAATTACACTTTCTATGTTTTAAAAATAAAACTTTTCATGAAATGAAAATCCAGCAAATTAAAGTAAAAATATGGTGTAGTGTAGTTTTTGTAGTAGTTAATACTCTTCTTCAATGTTTGTTATTTAACTTGAAATAAGAAATGTATAGGTGCCTCTTTTGCTCTTTAACTTATGTTTAGTAGTTATGTGAGAAAGACTTTAAGAAAAATTAAGGAAAACACTATTTCAAATATGAAATAAAAAAGATAATCTCAAGTAGGGGTTTCATGAAATAAAAAATAATGAGCTTATATAAACAAAATTGAGGAATCTTTAAAGAAAAAAAATATAAATAGTTCTTTGTGCAAT